ACCCCTCCTCCCGCCCAGCCTTTGTCTGCGGTAGGGTGTTGTCTAAATTCACAACCATGCCTCTCCGGAGGGGGAAGGCATTGGCTCTTTTTGTGGATCCTGCTTCAGTACCAAAATCTTTTAAGGACCAGGTGCTCCAGGGAGATGTGGGGTCTCAGCAGAAGCACTGATGGGTGGTCATTACTGAATGCTAGATTCTACTTGCCTGCCATCAGAATTTTGGATCATTTGGGTTTTTTTATGAAGTAACTAAAATGTTGTTGATCTGTTGCCTAATCCTAGGCATTTACAAAACATGCAAGCCTGAAGTCTACTGAAACATGGAGCGATGCATAGAAATAAGTGAGATTCGGTTTCCCATTGTACTAGCTGTGTGTTTGTCAAGCACACAATGCTGACTGCCTCTGTGTTTGAGATGAGTTTCAGTTGCTATTATTAATAACATCTCAGATATGTTCTGGTACAGGTTTATGGGGTTACTGTTATCTAGGAGATTGCCTGACTCATAATCCTCATAGACCCCTGCTCCTACAGTAGTCTTCTAATATCCCAGGTAGTGATGTTATCTGGATAATGACATTCTTTTACTACGCTCCCACAAAGACCAGGAGAGATGATCAGAGGTGTAACTACGAATGCCATAGGCTTAAAGCTAGGAAATCCCACTGTGTTGGGGTTTCCATATCGTTCATATGTAAGTAAGAACAATTACGTCATTCGAAGTGTATGCTTTCATAGGGTGAGATGGCGAGCCCTTAAAACATAAGCCCTTAAAAATAAGCTGAGGGAAGTTTCCTTCGGGTTTTCTTAGTGTCTGTGTCACCTATCTGTACTGAGTAGTTTCTGTAGGCTGCAGATTTTAGTTGTGCTTTGATACATCCCAGGAGCTCTTGCTCCTACAAAAGTGATTACTCAGAATGTTACTTGATTTCTCATTTTGCAGATGAAAACCTACATTTAGAGATAAGTTGCAGGCAAGGCTAAGAACGTTTCTGAAACAACACGCAACAATGAGGTGGTAGTTTACATTGCCACTTTTTTTCCTCAAGTTTGGACTCCCACTGCATGCAAAACTGCTTTAGGCCTTTTTCCTCATTTGTTTTCAATAAAATATTTATCGGCTTTCTGTGGGAGAGGTTTCAACAGCTGCTTTTAAGTGCAGGCAAGAACCTGCTGTGATGTGCTTTGTAAGTTTGAAACTATGGCTTTATAGCTCACATACGTGCATCAGAACAGATCATCTTTCTATGCTTTTTCTGGTTTAGTATTTCTGAAAAAATCCCAGACTTTGCCCCATCCTTTTGTTTGTTGTTGCTGAAGAGCAGGAATTTGATTCCTTCACCCAGGCACTGGGCTGACCACAACATTTTTCTCCCCTCTTGTGGCTCATTATGTGATCCTGTCCTACATCTTGGTCATGCAATAGAAGACTGCTAGGGTTTGGGAATCCTAGGGGTATAATCTTCCCTCTTACAGCCTTTTGTTGTCAGGAATCATTGTGTATTTTACATGGAAAAGCTAGTGGGGCTAGATTTGTGGAATTTTTATTCCCCCCCCCCCCTTTAAAAATAGCTTTTCTGCAGTGGTTCCTTGTGACCTGGTTGCAAGGGTATTGAACAGACCTTATTTTGGCATTCCCCTACCCTTCAGGAACTTGACTGGTGCCAAACATGTACCTTTCTGTGTGCTTGTATCTGTGGAGCTAATAATTTATATGTGTTCCCAACACATTGCTGCTTACGTGAGTTAATGTTTTTGAGGTATGAAGCATCAACTGAAAGTGTATGAACTGGAGGTGATACTTAATATGTCAAATGACACTGTAGTCTGGCTGGCTTGCTGTAAAAGGGCTGAGTTGCACTGACAGCGCTTACAGTCCCCAGGAGTAGGAACTGTTGTTGTGTACGTGGTTCATTTCAGCAGAGGAGTGGGGAAGATAAGTTCCCATAAGAGTCCAAGGGGTCTTTTCTGCAAAGAGGATGTGCTCACATAATGGGGAGGAACGTGGCCCAGAGATGGGGGATTGACAAAAAGGGGAAAATGCAGTGAAAATGGAAAAATGCAGAAGGTCTGTGGTAGTGTTGGATGGGTGTGGGGTACAGACAGGGGAAGAAGCTACCAGGGAATCTAAGTTGGTCTGTGGGGAGATGGCAGCTGAATGCAGAATTAAATAGAGCTGCTGGTAAGATGTAGCAGACAATGAAAGTATAGAGGGGAAAAGACTGGATGGGAAAGGAGACTCTGGGGAAAGGCTGGTGATGATCCATGTGGGAGTGGAAAGACTGAAAAGTATGTGCAGGGGTGGAAGATTTCTTGAGAAAAAGGGAATGGTAGAAGAAGGAAAGTTTTGGAAACCAAGAGAGATTGGAATAGGGATAGGCGTTGATTTCCTTGAAGCTCTAAAGGCCAAGGACAAATTCAGTGAAGAGTGCAGAAACTGCACATACTAAGATGGTTCTTGTGCTAGAAATAAGTGACAGGCAATGTGATATGCTGCTCCTAGCTTGCTGGTTGCCTTCCTGCAGATGTCCTGGGAAGTTCCTGGGTGGCTATAGCCTTTTTTTTTACTTGCAGCTTTTTTTACATGCTTACCTGCTGTATTTTTATTGAACAAGATGGTGCTTTTTTGATTTTAGGAAATGTAAATTTTTTAAAAGGGATAGGAATGAGGAACCATTCCTGTATGGTTTGTAGCTCCTTCCCCATGACTCTTCCCCTCCTCTGTCACAAAACCACCACATAGTTTGATTGTGGGACTATTTCAAACTGGTACCAAATAAGGGGACACAGACTCCATGGCTTCTACAACAGGTTACAGTGCGTGGCCTGACCGAGAGGTTCCTCGCCACACTGAAGAGAGCGCACTGTGTAGTCTGGTGTTGCCACATGGTGTTATTATTGTTTCTAATTTTCACACCTGTCTGCCATGATTTAATAAACTTTTGTAGATGGAGGTTCAAGGGTCTAATTTCAGACTCATTTAATCAGCTTTTTAAAGGGAGCTAATCAGCTAATTTAAGGAGAGACAGCTAGCTGCAACCCTGTGTGAGCTCCCTGGTCATGATGTTCATGTAAATGACAGACACGTTTTGCCTGACTCTGGTTACATCTTGCTGTGCTTGATCTTTTGCAGACTTGGCTGTCTTTGGTTGCATCTTTCTTAGGAAGCTTATAAGAAAAAGAGAGAAGTTGTTACTGGAATCTTGAGGTCTTAGAAAACTGTGAAGGGATTAATATTTAGCTGCTGTTGGAAGTGAATACATGGTTATTTTGGAAGGCTGTTGCTACTTTGCTGCAAGGCGGTGTTAGATAACGTCGTCATCTGTTACCTTAACAAAAGGACTTCTTGGTCATGATATCTTTTTGAATGTGTTAGGGTTTTCCAGCTGGATTGCTTGGGAATGAGATTCAATTTTTCACATTTATAGCAAATGTGACAGAATTTCTTCTTAGTAGATTATTGGCATCGTTATATTGCTTTGAATTATTATGAAGAGATTTATATGTTAAATAACCCTGCTGAGTGCCATTGAGTTATGGGGAAGAATACCAATAAACAGTTACTTCCAGGAATAACTGCCAATCCTTTAATTTTTTTTCAAGACATTTCTATTATGGTTTGAAGCTTTTATTTTTCTAGATTTGACAAGCATGTCTTTTTAATCTGAAGCTGGGAAATAAAAGCACCAATCCCCAGGTCTTAGTGATGCAGTTCTAAAATGCTAACGTTCTAAACAGTACTGGGTTTTTTTGTCTGTGTGAATGTTCTTTTTTTTCTCTTCCCTCTCCCCCCCCATCAAAGGGAAAAGAAAAAGTCTTAAAGGAGAAGGCTTTGTCTTTAAAGATTTATTTATCAGGCAGTCAGGCTTTTAAATTACTTACCACCACTTTAGTATGCAAATGCTGAAAGGCATTTTACGTTCTGTAACTAGCAAATGTCATTATGGTTTGGGTTTCTGTCAGACTCGCAGGCTTAGTTCTCCAAAGCACTGAGTATTACTGGTGAGTTGATTAGCGTGGATTTTATATATGTAAAACCTTGGGGGATTAAAATCTTTTTTTTAACGCATATGGCTATTAAAATAGATACTAAAAATGTTTGCCTGGATATTCTAGAAAGACAAGAAGCTATGCATAACATCATTTTAAATATGGAGCAATACGTCATATTAAATTAGGGAGGGAAAATAAAGGAAGGCTTTATTCTTGGTGCCGGCAGACTGAGGGAGGGGATGCGCTACGACGCGTTCAGCACCCGAGCTCTGGACAGCGGCACTTGCAGGACCAAAGAATTGCGCAGTCAAAATGCGCAATATAAAGCGAATTCAAAGAGTTGCTGTTCTTCATGTTATGGCATGCTCCAGTGCCACAGTCAGGATCCAGTGTAGACCAAACTGGCGATCCTAGTCTTTTATCAGTACTGTATTTTATAGGCTATTAGCAGGTGTGCTTCATCCCAATTAAAATATTTTGCACGTATGACCAAAGTAAGACCTAAGCTTCAATGAGAATGCTGACCAAACGGGCTTTATGTTCTAAGGAATGACAAAAAAAAAAAAAGATCTTCTGAACAATATAATAGTTACAGCAACCCAAATTTAGAAATGAGTTTTGAGTGATTTAATGTGAAGAAGTTGAAGGAAACTGTTTGCCTCTGTATATGTTTTTTTGTGTAGATTCATATGATAGTTTGCAGTGTACAGATACAGTTTGTAGAATAGTGAACTACATGATTTTTAGCGACATTAGGTGTTCCAAACTACATCATTAGTGTAAAAAGGGTATTACTGCGTTGTATAAACATTTTGTCCATGTGCTACTTAACACGTATGTTGAATCCAGTGGCAAGACAAGAATTCACAGAAGCAGGTTGAAATGTCGTTGTTGAAACATGTAGCTGAAATCTCGTGTTCTTATTTCAATTGTGGTGGGTGGTTTTTTCCCCTTCTGAGATAAATGAAAATAATGACCAGAATTATTTTTTTCATTTTTATTTCTAGGGGTTGATACAAAATTGAAATTCACTCTTGAACCATCTTTAGGTCAAAATGGTTTTCAGCAGGTAATTTGATTCATTTTTCTCTTTGAGCTTATGAAAGACTGAGTTCTCTTCAATCTAGGTACTTCCCTAGTTCAGAACTGCATTTGTCATCATAATGTCAGCATATTATTTGCAATTGCATCAAAAGCTGTTCCATTAGTGTTTGGAAAATGTAATAGGCTTTCACTGTTTACTCAGGTATCTCATAAGTCTTTGTGTCCTAGAATATTATATTTTTGTTACATCATTAAGTAATTAATCTATATCTTCCCTGTGAGTGGATTAAACAGTTAAACTCAGAAATATATGCTGTAAAATGAAATGAATGTGTATGTCTGCAGTGTTGTAAATGTTGCTATATTGTTGCATTAAACTAATGGTGGATTTTATATGTTTTAGTGGCATGATGCGCTCAAAGCAGTGGCCAGATTGCCAACAGGCATACCAAAAGAATGGCGGAGAAAGGTAGGTAGACCTGTATGCTTTGTGGGACATATTGCCTGTGGGCTTTCAGGAGAGGTGAATGATATCAATATTGTTAGTATTTTTAAACAAGTATTTGGGAGTTTTAAGTTAGACTGGGAATTTTTCCTAGTTTACATTCTTCAGTGATAACCTCAGAGGGCAGCTGGAGAGACTGAGGAGAAGGGTAAAGATGGTGTTTTCAATAGCCAGGCTCTTTCTGCTTCAGGCTTAGGTAACCTGTTCTGGTACAGATGTTATTGCTTCATTCTGTCAGTCTCGGGGAATTGTGCTGATAAAGCTGCCCCCACAGCTGAAGATCAACTGAAAGGAGAGCAAATCTCCAGTGCAGGCTGTCATGTAGGTGAAGTTGATAGATGCTAGTGCTGACAAGAATGCTCATAGAAACATTTGATGGGGCAAAGACAGATTGCTGAAATTAGGGAAGTTCAGAGTCAGGAGTGATGTGGAATGGTAGAGTGCACCATTAATGGGAAACTGCACTGAGTTAGCATTGTAGGAAGGGGGCCAGTGGGATTTTGGTAAACTTATTTTACTGTTTTCTTCAACAGCGTTTGAAGTTCCCTAGCCTAAAAAAAGTTAACGCCTACTCATCTTTTCTATAAAACTGAGTCACATAATCTCAGATTTAAAAATGCAATTTTAATAAAAAGAATATTTTTTAAACTTTAGAAGATGTGCGTAGTTCCGTATATTTTTGATGCATCAGATTAGTTTCCTTTTCCTGTTTTCTTTTTGCTATCTTTTCAAACAGAACTGTTCCTCTTTACAAATCAGGGAGAAAGGAAATGGAAGGCATAGTGGCATCATTTTCCTTAGACGACTATGATTTTATCTTTACTCTACAGCTCCAGTGAATCATTATATCCAGCTAACAGTCTTTTTCCTTTCCGGTAATGTTCTTCACCCACACTCCAGTAAGTCTGTCAGATGCTTCTCTGTGGTGCATGAGTGGCAGAGGTCATAGAATCACAGAGTGGTGGACGTTGGAAGAGACATCTGGCGGTCATCTGGTCCAACCAGATAAGATCCTCCATGAGCCTTTTCTTCTCCAGACTGGTCACAGCTCTCTCAGCCTTTCCTGATAGGAGAGGTGGTCCAGTCCTCTTAGTGGCCCTTTGCAAGACTCCCTTCAGTAGCTCTGTGTGTCTCTTGCACTGACGAGCCCACACTCCAGCACTCCAGGTGTGTCTCACCAGTCTTGAGGATCACCTCCATCAACCTGCTGGCAATGCTCTGCCTGATGTAGCCCAGGAGGCTGTTGGCTGCCTTTGCCACAAGGGCACATTGCTGCATTATGGTCACCTTGGTGCCTGCCAGGACCTGTTGCTCTTTCTCTACAAAGCTGCTTGCCAGCTGGGTGCTCCCCAGCGTGTACTGGTGCCTGGGGCTATTTCTCCCCAGGTGCAGGACTTTGGACTTCTCTTTGAACTTCATGAGGTTCTTGTCAGTCCATTCCTTCATCCTGTCAAGGTGCCCTTGGGCTTATCAGCCACTCCTCCCAGTTGTGTGTTACCAGCAGACTTGCTGAGGATCTGCTCTGCCACATCATCCAACTTGGATCTCTGTATTTTCCTTCCCATTCTGCCCATCTCTGTGTTTGGTCACACATGACTACATGATGCTAACCAAAGAAGTAAGAAAAAGAATGGGGTCTTCTCACTTCCATTCCCTGGTTTCTCAATGATTTTAAGATTGATACCAAAATAAAGCAAGCATTTTGTGTTGGCAGCATGCCGATTGCCTCCTTTGCTGGCAGCAGAAGGAGCAAGGTGACATCTGCATTATTGCTGTGGCATGTGACACTTGTTTTCTGGGGCTGGCAGAGATAAGGAATCCAGTCAGGCAACATCAGGAGGATGTCAGCAGTGTCAAAGGCTGCTGGGAGGCAGAACAGCAGCATTCCTCTGCATGGGTGGCTTTGCAAAAGTGTGGGAAGGGACATTTAGATGCAGAAAACATGGGAGCTGTCTATAAATTCCTTCATCACACCACTATCTAAGTGTTTAAATCTGTGGGAAGTGTCTGAGTTGCTTTTCTTACTTGAGTGAGTTAACAGCTGATATAAGGCTTGACCAATTTTCTTTCATGATTTCTTTCCATTTCCTGAAGAGAAAGATCCTTTATTTTTACTTGTTGTCATTGTATGGTTTGTCATGTGCCTTTCATGGTTCAGGAACTTTTCAAAAGTTTCATAAAGGTCCAGCCTTTGTCTCAGATACACGTGCATAAACCTGTTCTGGTAATTATCAGGCTTTAAAAATAGTCAAAATGTTTGTTTTCAGAACTCCCTGTAGCACCAACAGTTGAGGAAGCTCTCCTGTAAGAGTAAGTTACTCTGATCGAAGTGATACTTACAGATCAATCCCAACAGGTTAACACTAGATCCTGTTTCTTCTGCAGGGTTGATCAGAAGAGACCTTTGGTAAAGAGAAGCACCCCTAGATATCTTTTGTGGTGTTTCCAGGAGATGGATCCATGGCTGAGTTTGAGGAAAGCCTGCAGCAGTGTTACCTTTATAGAAGTCCTTGCTGGTTCTGAGGTTAGAAGGGCTGAGCTGACAAGGAGGGTCCTCACAGCAGAGTGTGTTTCCATTCTCGAGGGCTCCTGTGGATTCAGTTTCTGACCGTGGACTTGCGCCTTTGTAAGCAGTTCACAGATCTGAACACTTAATGCTGTTTCCTTCCTTTCTGTTTTAGGGAGCAAGGTATTACTTTAATTGTGCAAAAAATGTTTTAGATATAGTCCTCTTCTGCATGTTTCAAGTCTTAACAGCAGATCACGTATCGGTGAAGTTGATGAGGTTCATCTAATGATATATACCAAACCTGTTCATATTTTGTCTGAGAAATAACTCATTTTGTTAACTTGCTTTGTGTATTTCTAGGTTTGGCTGACCCTAGCAGATCAGTACTTGCACAGCATAGCCATTGACTGGGATAAAACCATGCGTTTCACGTTCAATGAAAGAAGTAATCCTGATGATGACTCTATGGGCATCCAGATAGTAAAGGTAGCCAACTAACTTGTAATGTTATTTTAATTTTTCAATGAAAAGTTGATTTTTTTTTTAAATAGATGGTATTTAGATTTATTTTGTTCTCTGCAACTGCTTTGGCAAAAATTACATCTTAATTCCCTTTGGTCCACCTAAATTATTTCTTCAGCTTCTTTGATCCTTCTTTTCCACTGGTCTGGTTAGTGTTAGCTGGGAAAAAACTGCTACTCCTGATTTTTTTTAATTTCTACTTTATTTTAAAAGAAATACTGGAGTTTAATGGAACATAAGTGTTTTGGTTTTTTTTCCCCTTCTCTATAAATGAACACAAATGTTTGCTGGGATTAAAAAGAATGTTTTAATAATATAGCAATTGAGCATTTTTCATTTATTTTACAGGAGTGAAACACCTTTGTCTATGTGTATTTCTCAGCTAATTAACATTTAATATTTAAAGCATTGTGCAGTTTTAGGGAAGATCTGTAACATTTATATTGCTGTGATGACTTTAATATTAATCTGTTTACGTATTTAGGAGGTATTACTCTATCTGGGAGAGTTTGTATCTTATGGTCACCTTCATTAGAGTACATGGAGTAAAATATTTCATGTTCCTGATTATTACATTTGTCATCTGTACTTGGTAATTTAAGTTTATAAATATTATTTATCAAATATTAAACATTCTAGTCCATGTTTTGCCTTTCACTTATCAATCGCTTAGATCTCAAGAGCACTGTTTCTGGTTTTTTTTTATGCTTTGAAAACTTAGTTGTCTAGTAGTTCTTTTATACTTTGATAAAAACAGTTGTTCCTTTTTGTTCAATTAAGCAGCTTTTATGTCTTGCCTCTTTGAAACCTAGATATCTGTTAATATCTTCTGTGGCAACTTTGTATGAACTTCTTTTAGGTAACTTGATTACTTAAGAGCTTGCTGAACCTATGTCTCTTCTGTAAGCTAAAGGTTTACAGATTAAAAAAGAAATATTGTCGCCAACTTTTGAAGTATGTATTGGGGAGGTGGAGCTGGAAGGAAAACTGTTGGGGAGAACTGAAAAGGAAAGAAAAATGCACATCTTTTCTGTCTGTTTGAGTCTTCTTTCAGTTTTCATTTTTTTGCTTTAAAGGACCTTCACCGAACCGGTTGCAGTTCTTACTGTGGCCAGGAGGCAGAGCAAGATCGAGTGGTCTTAAAACGTGTTTTGCTGGCTTATGCCCGGTGGAATAAATCTGTTGGCTATTGTCAAGGATTTAACATACTTGCTGCACTTATTCTGGAAGTAATGGAGGGCGATGAAGGAGATGCTCTGAAAGTGAGTAATTTTACTTTTTTGTTCAGTGTTGAAGGTTTCTTTTAGTTAGTGAACTTTAGAATAAACCAGTGCGTGAATTTTGTAGACAATCTAAAAGAGCAGAACTTAAGGGAGTTAACCAATTTATATCTGTGGATTTTTTGTGATCCTGTCTGAGCTAAAATGAACAGTTTGAATCTTATAATTTTTTTCCCAAATAAAAATAAATGAGGGCTTGGCCATAATAGAAATAAATGGGCATACTGCTACTGATTTTAGAATATCTTATCCTATAATCCCAAATCTGCTTCCAAACACCATAGGTACCTGAAAACTTCAGATTTCATTACTATCCTCTAGTGTGGCAGTAGCATGTGAGGCAGTTAAATCTGCTGTGTTTTAAAGCAAATTCTAGGAAAAACACAAAATAAATAGCTAAAATGCAACTAAATCACTTTGAAGCTTCTTTCTGGGCTACATTAGTCATACAGTATTTTAATTTTTTAGACCTTATCTAATTAAAATAAAGCTTCATGAAATTTGGACTATGTCAGAAAATGGACCTATAGTTTACTACAGAATGTGGTTTAAGGTTTGCCAAGATCATGTGCAAATTTTCTTAAGTGAACTTGCCCATATGTGTGAGTTGGGGTCAGATTAGTAAAAGGTGACTATGACTCTTGAGATATGGAGCTGTTTGTTTTGCCTTAGACAATGGTTTAAATATGGTAAATATTTAAATTCATTCAGAGCTCCTAAAATATAAAGCTTGTGATAGTAGAGTCAAGCTAGCTGGTATTTAATATTTCATTCATAATATACATACTTTATATCAGAGAGTAAAATTTCCTTTCAGTAATTCTTACTAAAAATTTCCACAGTATTTTTAACTATACTTTGTCACATTTTATTGTGATTTTATAATGTCGATAAGCTCCTAAAAGACTTTGTGATAATATAGGAAATACGATTGCCCCAGGTTTATGAAGTCCAAACTGATGATAAGAACTGTGTACATCCCTTATATTATTGGATTATCTTTTACTGTGAGTGGTGTCAGGCTCCTTGTGCTACGGAGATGATGGAATGATGCCAGACTGCCCTGGGGAGGTAAAGCACTGAAGGCTCTTAGACCAAAATGGGTCTTGCCTGGCAAAAATAAGAACGGAAAATAAAGTAATTCATTTTCCAAGCTTAGTGCATGGGCTTTGCAGTGTTTGAATTTCCTGAGAAGAGAGAGGGAAAATGAAAAAGAGAGAAAAAAGAAGGAACAAAGGAGGAAAAGAAAAGGAATTGGTGGTTACCATGTGGCTAATTCATTGCTGTAGTTGCTGTGCCATCTAAAGCAAGTGATGAGTGACTTCAGAACAGCTGCAGAGGCTGTTGCCTGTAAAGCTGCCCTTAGGATTGGAGCTATGGGGAAACTGTTTGGATTATTACAGAGTCTAGGAGTTAAGGGAGCAAGGGGGTTCTCCAGGCTTGCCAATCACGTTCCCTCAACAAAAGCTCTGTGTCTGGGAAGTGCCTCCCAGAGGCTGAGAAACAGCTGGTACTGCTTACACCATGGGGCTTTAAGAGCACAGCACCCAATGTGGTAGCTTCAATGAATGCCCAGCCAGGGATGCTTGAGTCTTCACTAGGAAAGGTACGCATATTTGAGTTAAATCCCTGAAGACACCTCAAAATTGGCCTGCTGAAATTATGGTAAGCAAGAAGATCACACCTTGCATGTGTAGAGGCTATCAAAGTACACATAAAGTCTCATAGGTACTGAAACTTAAAAACCATTTTTTTTCCTGCACATTATTGTGGGGAAATATTACAAAGTCAAATAATAAAAATAAATATGTACAGATGTGTCATGAAGAAAGTATCTGTTGCAAATGGTAAATATCTTAAGCTGCATTAAAAGCATTCTCAAAAGAATTCACATGTCAGTGAAACAGCGTGGACTTCAGTGTTGCAAAAAGTTTTCTGTTCTTCCCTGTGCTTATATATCTATGATATTGGAAGTAATGCCACTCAGTAGGAAGGGAGCAAAAGACTTTATAAAAAGGTTTAAGGCAGGGATTTATGACCTATGTTGTAAGAAATTAATTAAAATACAAATAGCATAGTTGTAAGTTAATGTTGCTATATTAAATTATTCTTACATTGGTTGAAATATATCTGAACAAAATAAAACATTTTGAAAAGACAGTGAGGTGTCCCAGTGTTCAGCAAAGGTTAGGGAATGCATCTGACAAAATATTACTCCAGCTTATTTATGTTCCTTGTTTTGGTCACCTATTTCCTTTAAATCCTTAAAAATTAAGAAAACAAAACAAAAACCCATCAAAATGTGTAAAAGCTATTTATTTACCTGTATTGACTGGTGATCTACATGCTTTAAATCATGGAACAGAAGACTCTTATTGCCTGAAAAAATGTTGCAGGGACAAGTGGTAGTATATGGTCACAAGCAGCTGTGAGAGTAAAGGAAGCAGCTGGGCTATGTAAGGTGGTGCCCTTGGAAGTCCAGTGCCTGTCAAGCTATTTCTGTGGGAATCTTATGAAAAGAGAGAGGTTGGAAGGAGGATTGACTCCTGCATATGAAGGTGCCATGCATTAGAAGCTGTGTGAAACAGGTGATAAAGATGCTTGTTTGAAATTGTAACAGAGGACTGATGGAGAGTTGAAGCAGATGGAATGACCACATGCAGACTCTGGATATAGTTTGTAGAGTGGCCATCGATATTGGAAGAGAAGGTCAGCATCTTCTGTTGGGTTGATGACATACATCAACTTCTGCATATTTCTTTGTTGCATTTGTTCATTCTCAAAAGTTTGTAAGTTAATACAAAAAGTTAATATATTACCACCCATGTGGTTGAGCTATCTCACTGGAAACAGATGTCTGTTGAAAATGTCTCATGCTGCTTAATTTAGCACCTTTTAAAGTGACAAGATGAAGTGCAGCACACGGTAACACATCACAGTAAAATGTGTGAAGAATGTTTTTTAAAGAACAGTATCTTGTATATTGGAGAGGGGGAAAAGGGTGATTTGGAAGTTCAGTCTTCTGGCTGTGGCAGTCAGCAACCAGAGAAGGGGCAGCGGAACTTCCCAATGGCATGGAGAATCTCACAAACAGCATCGGAAGTGCCAAAAGTTGCCTTTGGTTTGAGTAATGCTTCCAATTTGGGCATAGCTTACTGTGACATTGATTTTGGTCAATAATGGTTCATAAATTCTGGGCAGATTCAAGAGGCCTTTGCAGCTTGATTGCTTGTGGATACCTAGAGTACCTGTGGATGCTTAAAATGATAATGTTTTCTTTCCATAGAAATGGAGATACCAGAAGCATATGTTGCTGCTGGCTCCAAGCCATTCTTTAGTGAACAGGGAACATAAAATTCTAAATTTTTTTCCCTATTCTTTCTAGAAAATAACTGGCTTTAAGTCTTGCATTATTATATTTAATTTTCCCCACAGATCATGATTTACCTAATTGATAAGGTACTTCCTGATAGCTATTTTGTGAATAATCTCCGCGCGCTCTCTGTGGATATGGCTGTTTTCCGAGATCTTTTACGAATGAAGCTTCCTGAACTGTCTCAGCACTTAGACACCCTGCAAAGAGCTGCTAACAGGGAAAGCGGAGGTATGTTCAACAGAAAATGCTATTAAATTCCTTTTTGCTATTGTTTCATCTGGACACTGGTCTAAAAATATAGTCTTAAGTGTTTACATGAGTTTATTGCTTAGAATATATATTAAAAATTGTTAAGATGAAAGATTTAACTAAACTATGACTGTCCCCAAACTGCATGAAAGCAAAGAAAGGCTATCAAGGAAGTATTTGCTGTTTGAGAGTGTTTTCACAGGCAGCGGCCTCTTTGGTCATGGCCTTCAGTGCCTCAGTTGATACCAGGATGCACAAACTGTTCTCTGAGCATAACAAGAAAGTAAAACTTCAGAGTTTCAGCCTGAGATACTGAGTCTTGTTTGAATCTGAACAGGCCTAAAGGAAAACTGAATGTGTTTCAGTCAGCGCTGCTAACCTGGCAGTGCGTCAGGATATTAAAACAATGGATAAGACTTTACAGACACTGTCACCTTCACCTTCGTGTAGATAAAGTCATCTTATGCCATTAGCTTCTGAAGAAATGCGACATTTGGGGACTTTTTTGGTGGTCTTTTTTTGTTTAGTTTTTAATAAAAGCTTTTAGCTCGTACAGCTTTGGGGAAGGAAAAGCGATCTTTCTGATATAAGAAAAAAAAAAAGTGGTGGTGTTTTCCAAGGTTTGCAGTCCAAAACCAATGCTGCTGCTTAGAGCTTTTTGCAGTGCAGCAGAATGAAAGGTGACCAAGTATGCAATTTTTCTATTGCTCTTTTTCCCAGCTTATCCTTGGACAGCTACAGGCTCAGTAACTTTTGAGCATTAACAGAGATACTAGAAGGCCTGGTGGATTTCAGTATGCAGTTTGTATTCTTTGTAAACTAATAGTAAATTACTATTACTTGAAGCATTTTTTTTTTTGCTTTTTATTTCAGGAGGCTACGAACCCCCACTTACAAATGTCTTCACAATGCAGTGGTTTCTGACCCTCTTTGCCACTTGTCTGCCTAACCATACAGTTCTAAAGATCTGGGATTCAGTATTCTTTGAAGGCTCTGAAATTATTCTGAGAGTAGCTCTGGCTATCTGGGCAAAGCTAGGAGAGTAAGTGGTCATTTTTATCTGATTCTTCTTTTCAATATGAGCAATGTGTGCAACTTATTTCTCAATTCTACACAAGATGTGATCTTTCAGGAAAATTATTCTGCTTTGAAAAAGCTGCACAAAGTGCCTCTATGGCTTTCCCAAACACATGTGCTTCTCATGTTGTGTCAGAATTGGTATAATAATTAATTGACCCTTGCTGCAGGAAATGTCTCTAGTTGTCTGTGTTGCCTTTGTATGTCTTCGTGCTATGCTGAAAGGTTGGTTCAACTTTCCAGGATGTAGACCTCTGAGGGAGCTGGTCAATACTATGTGGAAAGACATACAGAGATACTTGAGGGTGACTACCTGCTTTAGTTGGGTATCTGAAGCTGGGGATGTTAATTCTTTTTATTTTCACTTAAGGAGACATAATGATTTGAGCCCATTGGCTGTACACAAGAAAAGAGTTCAGTGTTACTGAAAGAATGATTTAGCGTTACATGGTTCTTTTCTGTTATGAACTGTGAACAAATTTTCCTGAAATTCTCTGCTTTTGAGCACATTTTGGGTGAGTTTCTGCTATAGTCCCTTATGGCCTTGGAAACTCATTACGCAGGACAAAACACAAGAGGTGGTTAGTTCTTGTAAACTCCACTGTTGTCATAGCAAATATTTGCATGCCAAAGAGTGTGCAGTGCTCCCAGAGAAATTAGTTTTGTCACGGAGGTGTGAGCTCTGACAGGTCAAGCAGATGTTAAGGCAGCTGGAAACTTTTTTCAGCTGGCATCTGGGGCTGCATCAGATTTTTCTTGTGATGCTTATTGACTCTCACCTTCCTTTTTTCCCTGAGACTGAACCACTGGGATTTATGTTCAGCTCTGTCCTTGAAGGTTTCAGGTTTTTTTTTCCTTTCCCAATAAATTAGCACTGTAGGCCAGTAACATTGTAAGAGACTTTGTTTAGTGTATTTAATTTTTAATCTGAAGAATAATAATTAGAATAATTTCCTAAGAGCTTTATGTGTTCAGTTCATGAATGAAACTTGCATGAATCATTTGCATTAGGATTAAGCTACATGTAGTCCCATTGTGCTTTATTACTTTCTACCATACCTTCAGATAAAAGGTCCTATTGCAGTGAGTCTCTGTGCACTTGAAAGCTGTAATTAATAAATGTTCCTACTCATAACATGATAAAAAGAAAGCCACTGCTTTGAAGATTTTGCCATAAAACTTAAAGAAAAAAGGAAATGTGTTTTGTAAAAAATGAAGGAACAGAATGAAGAAATCTTTAACAGTATGTCCAAAACAATAAGCTGATCACACCACACCTTGTAACTATTGTCTGTGGGTCATAGGAGAAGGTCGGGCAGATTTGGGGGCATTTAACAGAAAGGGACAGTGGTGTGATAACCAACAGATCCAGGAAATGATAAGTCACTAAAACTGAGCAAGAACTGAAATTCAATAAGCTTGTGATCATTGATATCAAATGAGATGAGGAAATAAAAGATCAGGCACTATGTCTTTGCTGGGAGAAGATTGTGATTTTGTTTCTCTTTCTTTGAATGGGAGGACTTAGAGAAGTGGGGCCTGAAACAGAGATCATAGTCTTGTGATCTTCATACTTCTCAAGACTGTCTTTCTAGACACGAAAATGGGGTGAGAAGTGCTTTTTCTAAAATGTGGGCAGATCAATCATACTTCTGTTTTGAGGGATACTGAAGGAATGGGGAGGTTAAAAATAGATGCAGTAGAGAAAGCAGTTTGTGGAGGTCATGAGAGATGGAAGGTATCAGGAAAGGTAAGCAGAAAGTTTGCAAAAATTGGCTACAGACCTGTTAAACCTTTTAAACTACTTAATCATCCTTTTAGCTAAACTCTGTTTTTCAGTAGGAGTTTCATAGTTAAATGGTTGTTCTCTGTAGACACTGAAGATCAAGTGCCTCCTCTAATCCTTAAGAAAAAAGGCTGTGTGCTCTTTTGATCATTCCAGCAGCTGTGTTTTACAGAGAAGACTACAATTTGTAACCAGCAATGCACTTGCTCAGGATCGAAGTAAAACAAATCTTTCACTTGATGATGAGGCAGTCAGGAAATCTTCATGTTCCCTTCGTGAGCTGATGGGAGAGCTCCCTTGTGCTAGTAGGAGGCAGGATTTATTGATTCACATGTTGTAGAAGTGAAGGAGGCAGAGGGAATAACCTGTCTGGACATGCGTGAATCCTTTATTGGGAGCAGTCAGGACAGAAGGCTGTGCTCAGTACATCCTTTTACTGCACTGGTATTTTCAGTGTGATGTGCACACTTACTATTTGGAAGTGTAGGGAGGATTGCAATAGACTTAAGAATTAAGATGACTAATGGAAGTGCATATTTATGATTACAGACAGTTCAGTTTTTGGTCTGGAGGTGTATAATAATATATAAAAGTAAAATAAAAAGCCAACATGTATTTTTGACATAGGCAAATAGAGTGTTGTGAAACTGCAGATGAGTTTTACAGTACCATGGGCAAGCTGACCCAGGAGATGCTGGAAGACAGTCTGATTGACAGCAATGAACTCATGCAGGTGAGTAATTGTGTTTTAGTTATTGTTTGTGTTTTCTGTGCATTCTTTAGGTGCCGATTTCTAAGAAATTACATTTTTGTTCAGATACTGCAGAAGCCTAAACTCTCCCAAGAATAAAAGTTCAGGATAACTGAGTTGAGCTATCATGTCAACGAAGCAAATAGATGACCTGCAGTTAGTTAAAACTAAAATCTTATCTTGTGCATTAAGCATAGAGAACCAGTAGGCTCCATTTGATAAAAATTGGTTTTATGTTGATAGCTGAAAGTTTGCTGTGATACAATGTCCAGCTGGATTTACGCAAGTAAGATGTGGAATCTTTTAGCAGTCATAATTTTTAGTGTGTTTTATGTTTTGACCAGTTATTGCATTGTGTCCTTGTCATTCTCCAGACACTATAAGAGACAGTTTATCAAGTGAGGAGGAGTTTATCAAGTGAGAAAGTTAAAAAAAAATACCCTTCGTGACTTTAAAAAAAACAGAATCCATGAACAGTCGTCAGTGAACTATAAACAAAGATATTTGTAGATAACTGCAGTCATTGAATTCTTAAAGCATAAGTCACTGTATGAGAACAAAGATCCACATTGTTCTAGGAAAGGAAAGGACCTTCAGTGTTACAGATGTGATTGTATTGATCTGTGCTCACACTTTTTTTCTGATATCCTTGAGGTGTTGTCTACTTAGGTGTTTTATAGAGACTTCATGTTACAGTTCTGGAACTTTGCTTTTGATGAGTTAGAGTATAGTGATTAAATGGGTGCAAATACCTTTTTACCTGATTTAAGGGATGAAAAATGAAGTCAGTCTCAGTATATGAAGTAGGATGAGTTGATTACAGTAGTTAACAGATGACTTCTGTTACCCCTTATTGGAAACAAAACTTAGTGATTTTCTGGGATAATGCACTGCCATTGCCTGGGGAAATACTGCTCTGAAGTAAAGGATTGTTTTCAAATTTTTGGCTTTTTTTATTGCTCTTGCTTAATTTAATGAGGGAACTCCAGAGAGGTGAGCACTGTGGCATTGTCTTGCTTCAAAAATGCCAATGCAGCTGGTCAGAGGTACTCGCATTCTTAAATAAGTGTTAAGGTTTCTCATAAGACAGTTCAGATATTGAGGATGCATGAGAAGGGGTAGCCCAAAATGACACCTTCTCATATTCATTGTGTTTCAGTTTCTGGTCTCAAGTGCAAAACGAAATCAAGTTGTGGCATCTATGTCAAAGAATAATGTTGGGAAATCTGAAGGGGGCTTTAGTTGACTCTGTGAGTTTCTTTCTTTGCCATTCTGTGTAATGGAAGATAAGGCATAGGTAGTAGCTTACTGGTTGGAGGGTTAGAAGGATATGAATGCCACCACGTGCCTTTGAACAATTTTCTCTGTGTTGAAGAAAAGAAATAGGAACCATTGTGTCAGTGAAAGGATACGGCTGCTTGAAGACACTGGCTTTTAAATTGCTTTAGGCTTTTTCAGAGGTGTCAGCCAGAGATGAAAGTTTAGACTGCTTTGTTTTAAAAAATTTATTTATTTTTTTTTCCTATTTTCCCTAATCAGAACAGTGAATTTACATCTAATACTTTTTACGAGGTGGCTCAAGATTAGTATCCTACTAAGGGAAAGGTTTAATAACCTACTCTACCTTCC